AATAAAAAAAAAAATTTTGAATTTACTTACTTGTAGCTGGAGTTAGAGGCGGTCGGATACTTATGACCGCTACTGTAGTAATAGAGCATTAGAACTGATAGCGGGTTCATATCTGAATCTGAAGTATCTCAATCTGTGCAATGATCAGTCAGGTAGCTTTAAGAGTTTTCGTACTCAAGAAGTATATGATCTAGATCTATAGAAAATTACACAGTCATGCCATAAATTAGAATATCTAAACATTTCATATTGCACAGAGTTTCTTAAATCATTGATTTATAATATTATTCGTTCCTGTCCAAAGCTCTAGCATCTTAGTCTTAAATTTTGTCGAATTACTGATATAACTATCAAAGAAATTGCTGGTTCGTGTTTTAATTTAAAGTATCTCAATTTAGAAGGGTGTAGTAATATTAGTAAAGAAGCCGTAGATCAGCTCATTTTTCTTAATCCAAATATCTATATCGAGAATTTCGTGTCAATTCAGATACCTCCCCAAATAATGAAGTCTTAGATGTGATCCATGAACTTGCAAGGCATCTGGGGATACCACATGATGCATCAAGAGATGTTGCATCCTTAGATAATTATATTAATGACAAATTATCAAGAAGATTGAGTGAACGCTGTATTCTAGCTAGACTATCGCTCTAGAGTAGTGCTCAATTATTATATCAACTCAGAGCCCTTTAGGACCAGATCATGTGAAGCATTCCAGATTGGAAGATTTTTTGCTGAGCCACAATGCATGTACTCATGTGCGACAGAAATAAGCAATGATAAACCTATTTTTCCGATTGAAAATATTTAATCAATCTACTAGCAAAATGTCAGATAATGAGACAGATGAAGGCTACAATGAATTTATCAAAAAATATGAATCAAGATATAAATGGGATAATGAAGGAAATCCCGATGAGTGAAAATACTGGGACGACCTTTTTTACACAATCAAAACCTACTGGAGGATAAAGGCAGTTAGGCATTAGAAAGAGAAAGTGCTTAAGCAATTTGTACATAGTCTACCTAATGTAAGAAATCTATCATCATTATTCCATGTATTTATACATTCCGATGCTTTCTATCTTTCACATATTTTGAGTCTGATAGAATTGCCATATTATTTGCATAAACTTCGATAGGAAATATGACTGGAGAGTATTGAGAAACCCTGATGTAGATTGCTTATTCAAGGTGAAGAATCATTAGTGGATTACTGTTTAAAGGCAAAAAAATGTAATGATATCATCAAACTCTGTAAAGATCATTTTAGAAGTGAATTCTATAGTGGATTAATATGAGAAAATATGAGATGTATTGCAAAAAATGATTATTATTGTGAATTGATAGAAATGCTTATTCAGGCGAAAAAATAATCAGTGACTGGTATTATAACTGGATTTAAAGATTATATTAGTCAGTCTGGTATTGCTAATCTGAATGGGATACAATACTTATTGAGAGGTATACATTAGATAACTAACCTGAGCGAAGGTAGTCTGAAACAGTGATCACTAGCTCAAAAGAATTTGCTGAGCCTCAATACATGTACTCAAAAATAGGTGATCACTAGACAGAGTTTATGTAATATTAATCTTGTATATACATTTAAAAAGAAAACATATTAACCTTTATTCTTTATTTTTCCCAAACAAACAAACATGAGAAAAATATGAAAGAGCGTCTAGTTGCAACACAGGACCTACTGTAAAAGTAAATATTAACATCAAAAGCATATATTATAAAAGGTTGAGGGACTCACAATTTTGAGATCTACACAGTTACCTAACTTTGATCTTGCATAAAAATCGCTATACTAAAAGGGATATAATTTTTTCTATATCATTAACCGCAGTAATTGATAGATAGTTTTAATGGTTATTGACCGAATAAGGTTAGAAGAAATTAAATTCGTTAGCTTATAAATACTCGTGTGAAAGTATAGGCCTCCCTATGTATGAAGAAATGGAATTAGATTCTGAAAGTTTTTTTGAAGTCCCTATTGATAAGGAGAAAAGTGTTTTGCGCTTAAGGAGGCAATTTATGTCAAAGTTAAAGATTTTCTTCTGAACAATATTACTGGTGGTATTAGCATTAAACTGTGAAAAGTAAATGTCTCTTGTAATGATTCCAAATTTGATCAACTTAGATATGCCAATACGACTGTTGAAAATGTGTTGGGAGGCTCTGAAATTGGTTCATTAAACTTGGTTAAAAATGTTTTTGATAATATAAATTCATCTGAAATTCATATTGTTATACAAGGTAAGCATCTTGTATATATGTAAAACTAATGTAAAATTATTATCCATTAGCCTTGCTAGTATTACTAATAACTATTTATCCATTTAGACATACCAAATAAGTGTGTTCTATATCGTCAAACATTCAAAAAATATGATAAACTTTTAATGCATACTATGCTTTAGCAACATAAAACTAATATTAAAATGTCATCTGCAGATTCTATTAAGAAATCCAGAAAGAAAGAAAAACTTGACTATTATGATAAGAAGGGATCTGAGAAAAAGCCTATCTATAAATCAAATTGGGAATATGATGAGAAGGAGGGTGATAATGTACTTTGTAATCCCAGTGAATATCCTGATCCAGATGATTAGTTATAATCTTTTTTATTATTTGTATTTACATTATGTAGCATCAACTTTTTGCAAATTCTATTAATTTATAAGTATTGCTTTCAGCAAACATTTATTTTATTAACTGTTAAATAAAGCATTGATATATTGAGAATGAGATGAGTTCAGCATTTATTTTTTGCATAATATATTGAATATATAGAAATTGGCTATATAAAATTGATTATATAGTTTTAGGGCTTTGCTAAATTCTAGTGAACATTATGCACATGACAGAATTTTATCTTTGGAGCAGTGATCACTAGCTCAGAAGAAATTTGCTGGGCCATAAATTGTATGACAAAATAAATGATCACACAGACAGGTTTGATGCTACATATTAATTTTGCATATACAGTAAAACATATTAACCTTTATTCTTTATTTTTTTTTCCCGAACAAATATGAGAAAATGTGAAAGGGCGTCTAGTCACAACATAGAGACTACCATATAAGCAAATAGTACCAAAAAAAACATATGTTGTGAAAGGTTTGAGGACTTGCAATTCTGAGATCGTCAGGTGTAAACTAATTACCTTTGCGTCTCTCTGGTAGATTTACATGTGAAAAGGTATGAGGATTCCATTTGCATATGCTTTCATAGAACTCTTGGCATCAGACGACAATACTAATTACGCCTCATACCTCCTTAACTTTTTCCCAGCAATATATAAAGCATGTAGGAGTATGTGGAAGTTCAGCCAACTTTTCGCAAAAACATTTCCAAAAAAAATAATGTAAAATAAGGTATGTATATGCCAGAAGTTATGTGTATAAGAGTGAGTTTTTTCTCACTATGAGGTTTGTTTTAGCAAACAAAATAAGTGTCTACCAGTGTAGATAATGATATTGAGTCTTAACTTCTGCTATCGTAATGCCAGAAATAAAAATATACTTTCGCGATTGAGATTTCTAAGGATAAAAGTCTCTGATCTTGAAGAAGAAGTAAGAAAGAAGCTGGGTCAATCAACCATAATGACTTCCTCTGCCAAATTTATCCTGAGAAGAGCCTATGTGAATAGAAAACAGGATTTTCTCCTATTTTAACGAGACGTCTGATGATGAAAATCATATTCATATCCTAATTCTTCCCTAACGACTAGTTATAATTTTTTATCTATATTCATTATCATGCTATGTAATAGTTTTATGTATTGTAGGACGGTTACCGGCAACATTTTTTATTTCATTAATAAAGTATTATTATTTTATTGATACATGGAAATGAATCACGTGTAATGATACAATGCCTGTATGATATAAAAACCTATATTAATGCCCAGTAATTTCTTTTCTGAACAGAAATAAATTTTATCTCACTTCAGAACGTAACACTATTTTTTGTCCGAGCCAGTAATACTATAAAAGCGCTATGTTTACCTCAACAGCTGAACACGACTCTTACTTAGTTAAGAACTGGGATACAGAGATCCTTATCGATTTTTTGAAAGAGCAGAACCTCAAGCTCAATGATAAAAAACACTATGACGTTCTTCGCAACAGAGAAATTGATAGACAGGTCTTTATCGACATGAGCAAGAAAGATTTTATGCAAGTAGGATTGGAAATGAGACCAGCTATGAAACTTGCAAAAGAGGCTAAGACTCTCAAAGAAAAACTGAAGCGTCCGTTCTCCTTGTACAAAGTTTGAGAGAGGTGTTAGTGAAATATGACATCGGTGGCAATGGTATAGGCACTATTCATCAGTTTTCACCCGTAAGTTTTCTCGTAAGCTAAGCTTACCAAAAGAGAAGTTAAATTTTTTTCTTGATAAAATTCATATATCCTTCAAACAAATATAAGATGCTTACACCTCTCAATATTCTAAGCAACCTACAAACTTGAAGATGACGATGAAAAATTGGTACAATGTATAAAGGAAATAAAGTGCAGGCTGAGAAATATGGGGACTATACTTGTCGATAGCAATGAAGCTATATGTTGTGAATATATTTTGGTCATCCTTCACGTCTCGTTATATATCTTTAAAAGAATAATCAAAAAAAGAGCTTACTTTAGCACCTCAGCTCGAAGTTGTCAGTGAAAAAAGTACTAGACGAGTTGATTACACAATCAAAGCCCTCACATCACAGAAGGGAAGCTACATTAAGTGGTTATAGGTTTCGCTTAGAATTGGATTCAATGTGAAAGTGCCTTACTGGTGAATAAAAATATGAGAAAACGAAAGTCAGACGAAGCATTTGAGAATGACTAAGACTATATCTATAGAATCATCACAATAGCTACGGAATGGTATTTCATTCTTTTTGTCTCAGATGGAATATCCTGTACAAGTAAAAATCCTCTTAATATCCGTTTACTGAATCTGCATTGAAAGAAAATTCAGAAGAAGAAAAGGAGTTACGCAAGAATGTGAAGCAGGTAATGGAGGTTATTGTTAGTTTATTGAAGGATAGGATAGACATAGAAAAGGAGCCGGCAACAAAAAGGCAATGGGTTAAAGAGTATTTTGAAAAAGAATAATCATGTATAATAGTCCGTTATCACTAGCATAGAAACGTCATGTATTATAGGCAAAGTCCCGAACCTTTGTATTTATTTTTCACATGTAATAATAAAAAATTTTTCTTGGCAAATTTCACTGATCTCGGGTCAGGAAAAATCACATGATTTTTTATCTATTACTATACTAACTCGAACTTTTGAATTATTTCATCTATGTAAAAAATATTATCAAACATGCAATCTGAAATTGATTCATTAAAAGAAATAAATTCGAAGTTCTTAGCTGAAATTACTGAACTTAAGAAGGAGAATGCTGAAGTCAAGGCTGAGAATGTGAAGTTAAAGCATGCTTTGGAAGAACATGAAGTTAGATTCATAAGCCTAGAACAGAGAGATGAAGAAAAGACCACCCTTATTGCTAAATTAGATGATGATATCAAGAAAATCAAATAATCTTCAACTAGTACTAGTTCTGTCGAGAACTCTGACATATGTGTTCAACCTATTCGTACAGAAACTAAGATGTTGAAGGAAAAGGAGACAGATGCTTTCTTAAACGAGATGCTGTTAACGTGTAATTCTTGCAAACTACAACTATTAGACAGGGTGTTTGAGCAGTTTATTATTTTAATTGAGCAGTAGTCTTTCAATAGTTTACAAGCTTTTAACTTAGTCAGTTTATCAAAAGTATTTATACTATTACATCAAGTAATTCAACAGATTGCTAATGATTTGTAGGTGTAAAATAATGTGTTTATTCATGAGTAAAATAATAGAAGTAAAAGAAAAGAAATAAAAGAAAATAAGAAAATAAAATAAGAAAAGAAAAGAAGCGAAGTACTGAACTAAAATGTAACACAGTAGGCCAATTACCTCTAAAACTACTAAAACTAACTTGTCAAGTTCCTATCTCTCTTTTTACATGAACTAAAAAGCTACCTATTTATATAAAATAAATTACATAGAGAAATATAACTAACATGTCTAATATATCAACTATGTCTAATATATTAACTATGTCTAATATATTAACTATATCTAATATGTCAACTATGTCTAATATGTCAGTTATACCACATATGTCTGACATATCATATATATCGTTTATGTCAAATTAGTCGATCTTTTGTACTACATGAGCTGCATCACATTTACCCATTCACATTACTCCCCGGTTAAGATTTCTGCTCCTGCAGAAATATTGAGAGTTTCCAGTACAAGAGCTTGATATTCACTAGACTTTAATTATCAAATCATGGTCAAGGTCAAACATCGAGTATTAAAGATTCGTTGGATTCCTACGTTTTCAAAGAGATGATAAACTCGAATAGTGATTCAGTAATAATGTTTAGTTATTATTGCCATTTGTACCGTTCATTAGGCCAGTGAAATAATCACATTATCAATAAGTTGACCTAAATAAAAAGCATTAACAAAAGATAAAATACAGTTCCTCATACGGGTAGAATGAAGGAGAGTTTGATAAGCGGACTACACTTTTTGAGCTAAGGGTGCGTCAGTTTGATATGGAGGTTCCATTAGTCGAATTTCTTCTTTAAGAATAGTTATAGGAATTTGAAGTTCTTTTAAAATTATTTCAAAATTCGTAAGTTCCATTTTACTTGCTTGAATATATATTGACGACATAGGTCTCTTTTATAATATATTAATGCCAATCATTATTCAATAATAATCTGAGGTTTCCATTCAGTTCGTTTCAGACATAGTTTCAAAAAATCAGCATGTATAGGATTCTTTCTAACTTGTCTATCTATTGTACGAAGTTTATAAGTTTTAGGTCTCACAATATCGTGAATATAGAAAGGTCTATCGAATTTGTCCTTAAATTTATCTCTGTGAATGTGTGATTGTGTAACATTAAATAATAAAACTTTATCTCCAATTTGGTAAGAAATCCCAGGTCGATCCTTATTGTAACGTTCTTATTATTTTTGTTGTCATTGCATAATATTTTGTTGTGCATCTAATCGTCATTGTTGCAATTGTGATGAGATTATCTGCTGATGTTTCTCCATGGCATTCGATAAGTTCGTGATAGGTGAAGATCACCGTAATTGCAAATCTATAAATAGAACTGCTTTTCGTCTATATAACAATTCAAATAGCTCGAATTTAGTTATTTCTTGCTGAGCAGTTCGGTATGCGAATAACGCTGATGTTAAATAAGTATCTTATTCTCCATGATGTTGTTCAGCGTACTTGGCTAAAATGATACACAAGGTTTTATTAAAGTATTCAGTAAGACCATTGGTTTATAGGTGATACAGTAAAGATAATCTATGTTTAGATCCTACTACATATAACAAAGCAGTAACTAATTCGTTCTGGAATGACGTGGCTCAGTCAGTTAATATTTCTTTTGGCGTTCCATGTCGATATATGATTTCATTGTAAATAAACTGTGCAGTAGTCTGAGCAGTACAATCTAGCATGATACTAGCTTCAACCAGTGTGTAAAATCTGAAATAAAAATCATGTGCAATTTGTGCACATGA